CCTATGATGCTGCTTGGCCTGCTGTGTTCATCCAGCCCTGCACCTTGTTGTCCCCGAACTTTCAACCTTGATTTCCACTGTGCTCCGTAGCCGATAGCTGCTGTTCAATTAAGTTTGGCCAACTTGACAGAGGTCGATTTCCCCCGCTGTGGGTCAATTTAGAATGTCCAATTTTGGGCCCGTGTTCTGAGGAAGGATTTTTTTTCTTCACAGATGCTGCCAGACCTGCTGAGCATTTCCAGCAACTTCTGTTTCACCCGGTTTTAGTGTATGGTCAAGCGTATAGTCATTTCGGGACCGGCGACCCTTCCTCAGACGGTCGCCGGACCCGAAACGTTAACTCTGATTTCTTCTTCACAGATGCTGGCTGACCTGCTGAGCATTTCCAGCAACTTCTGTCTTTGTTCCTGATTTACAGCATCCGCAGTTCTTTTGGTTTTCATTAAACTGGGTGATCTCCTTATTGTCAAATTGTTGCTTGCGTGTGTTTGCCGTGCAAGAAATGGCTGCCGCATTTTCCCCTATTACAGCAGAAATTCTACTTCAAAGGAACTTCAGCGAATGTAAAAAACTCCGAGATTTCCTGCCTTCGTGAAAGGCGCTACAGAAATGTAAATCTTTCTTTTAACTGCAATCCTAAAGTCTGATTACTTGCATATTTTTCTCCTCCAAGTAAAAATTCTTTCTATTGCCGTATTCACTTGCATTAGCAGTTTTAGTAAGCTGTATACCATCTTATTACCATTTGCTGAAGACAAATTTAACTAATAGACACCCATTGGGAAACCAGTACATTACCTTGCAATTTGCAGCATCACCTCCCGATCTTGCAGCCGAGTACTCCCTCCAGTGGCCTCCCGCGCAGCATCTTCCAGACAACTGCACGAATCTGCAATAATATCCCACCCAGAGTGACATGTGGAAAAAACACATTTAGGACACTTGAACGAGAGGTGGCACAAATCGGCTGAACCAAATCATGCACCGTGTCGTGCAGGTAAAAGAGCAAGAATACAACTGGATTTGGAGAGTGCGATGCTCCCTACGTTAACTGGCCGATGGACAATCTCTGGCGTTACAGATTTTCAGTATTTGGATGAGGCACTGGCGACTATCGAGTTTTGGGGATGTCACTTGTACGTATCCAGACGGCGAACTAAATTTCACACAGGCATGGCAGATCTTGGGTTTATTAGAGACAACAAGGTGCAGAGCTGGATGACCCTTGATGAAGGGTCTAGGCCCGAAACGTCAGCCTTTCTGCTCCTATGATGCTGCTTGGCCTGCTGTGTTCATCCAGCTCTACACCGTGTTATCTCAGAATTTCCCCAGCAGTTTTTTTTGTTTTCATTTCAGGTTTCCTTTTGAGGTGGTTCGATCCCGAGAATGGACGACTTTATTTGATCTCATTAAGGCTGTAGGAAAAATGCATTTGGCAAAATGTTAAGCGAGTGAGGGGCAGACCAATAACCAGGGTCTCTGCTCATGGGTGGCCCGTGCGCCCTGCTGGGAAGTTTATATGTTGGTGATCAAGGCGAAAATAATGGTATTTCGGTGAGGAACAGCTGTACACCATGAGGAAGGCAAGGCTGCGGCAAGAACGTAGCCAATTGGATACGAAAAAGAAGTCCAGAAAGGTAGGATTTGTTTCATGGCTCAGTACTAGGGCCTCATCTTTTCACTGTTAATTTATATATGCCTTAAATGAAAGAATGGCAGTATCCATCTTTGTCTCGGGTTGGGGGCCGCTGTGTATCATTCATGAGTGGAAAATCTTTTGCTGACGCTGCCTCATGAGTGGAAATCCCTTTCACCTCTGGCAGATACTAATAGCGTAGGACCAAAGTTGGCTAAACGATTTTTTTTGCTGTCCTTTCACCAGGCTCTTTTCCACCATCCGGTCTAGTCATCATCTGTTTCTCACGGCAGGGGTCAGTCAACACAGCGGTCATACTCTACGCCATTCGAGTTATTCATAATTCCTGGCTGTTTTTCCCTTGCGTTGCGCCGGTGAACATCACCATGCTCACGTACCCCTAACGGGACGCAGGAGGCCCTGGCAAATACTGTGGAGACGCGGAGTTGTCCAAGGATTAGGACTTTCCTCTCACCTTGCTGGTATCCTTCGAAGAGAATAAAAATGAAATCGGTTCTCTTTGGTACCAACAATGTTGAAGGATTTGGCAGAGAGCAGCCCAATAAGTGAAAGGTAACCTGTGGAACACCACTCTGGATTTTCTGTTGGAGTTTATTCCTTTAGACCTTCTTCCCTCCCTGGAAACGCAGTAAGGACGGAGGCTGCAACTCAACCTTGTAAAATACCTTTCACTGAAATTTGCAGATGATACCAAGTTACAGCATGAGTGGGTGGAAGCACAGTGTTGCAAAGGGACATTAGGGGATGGGTAAAACTGTGATGGATGAAGTTGTGCAATAAAGTGCAAATTCGTCCACATTGAACATAAGATTGATGAACCATTAGTGAAGACACTTAAAGGTCCAGAACAATATAAAATTTATAAAACAAGTATTTAGGTATGAAAAATAATAAAGGCTAATAGAATGTTGGCTTTTAGTACAAGGGCTTAATATTAAAAAGGTTGAAGCAATGTCATATAAACCTGGTTTTGTACCATTTTATGGACTGCTTGTAGTTCTGGGCAGCATACTTTGGGAGGGATACACTGGTCTTGGAGATCGTGCAGGACAGATTCATTTGATAGTGTAACTGTTCCATAAGGGCTTTCACATGAGGACAGGTTGCATTGACTGCAATACTTTGTATTCCCTTGAATATAAGTGATTATAGGATGATCCAGTTGAGGTGCTCACCAAGATCAAAGGTAAAGGGGAGAGAGGAACAATTCCCTCTTGAATCCAGAACAAGGGGGCAGAACTTTAAGATTATATCTAGACTGAGTTTGAGATGTTTATAAGCTTTCTATTACACAAAGAATACGGGAATTCTGGAGCTCATCACAAAGATGTTGTTGAGGTTGGAAGGTCAATTGAAAAGTTTGAAGTTTGGGGTTTTGCTTTGCTTAAATGATGCAGAGCCATTGCTAATGAATAGAGGTAAACAAATCAGCCGTGCTCCAACAAAATAGCTGAACAAGTTGAATAGCCTATTCCTGCTATCTCGCCATGTATCCCAGAAGGAGGTGGGAGCTAAGATGTCTCACAGGATGGGTGTACCCGCAAGTGAGCTAATGCTTGGAGTGAGATACTGCAGAACAATGTCCCCAGGAGGCTTTTGTGAGCTACCAGAAGAGAGGTAAATCCTACCATGGATAGACTAGCTATTCCAACATCTGTTATTGGGAAATTATCAATAGTCAAAATTAATAATGGAGTGATGGAAAATCTTACATTTTCTGTTGATTAGGCAAAGTCAACATGGAGTTTTAGAAGGTAGCTCATACCTAATGAATCTGATGAATACCTAATGAATTTTTTGAAAAGGGACTAAAGTAATGGATAGGAGAATGACAGGAAAATCATTCACTTTGTTAGACTGAGCAACAGGAGACACGTTGGGGGCTGATGGACAGGTACAAGAGAAGTATAGGAAGTGCTGGGATTAAATTAAAAAGAAGAAATTAGTAAAGCAAACACATCATGTCATAATATTGGCAAGTTAATTTACAGAAAACCCAAACATACTTTATAAATAAATAAAGACCACAAGGATAGCAGAGCAGGAACAATTTTGGGGGTCAGGGCCTTAGCAGAGAGAGACAAAGTAATTAGCAGAGAGATTAGACAGAAATTGGGAAGGTTTTTCACTCAGACGAGCTGGGGGTTAAAATACATTTTATGAAAGGCTGATAGGGACAATAAGTCTCCACACATGAAGGAAATTTGAAAATAGCATTAAATGCTGTAATGTAGTCTAGTGACCAAGAGTTAGAAATTTGGGTTAAAATGGATAGCTCTTTTTCTTTTTTAACTCCAAGGGTTAGAATAACAAGGAGATATTACAAACTAGGGCTGCATTCCCTCAAATCTATAAGATTACAGGCTGATTTGATCAAAGATTTCAAGATATTGAGGTGAAATTGTAGGATAGATTAAGAGAAACTCATTTCACTGGTTGAGAAATCCATGACTAGGAAATATAGCCAAAACATTAAAGCCAGATTTGTCAGGAGCTAGGAAACAATACCACACAATGGCTAGGTTGGGAGCTATCTTCCACAAATGGCTGTTGCTGGTTCACTTGATAATTTCTTGTTAACCAAATACATGAAGGGAGCAGGGCAAAGGTTGAGATTAGATTACAGCCAAGAACTCTCCTCTGGTAAAACAGGCTGGAGGAATTGAATAGACCTCTCCAATTCCCACAGTTTGGGAGGAAAGCGAAATATTGAATGGCTGATGTCTCTCAATAGTTAATGAGGCATGGTACCACAGTATGAATTTATCCCAGGAGAAGCTAGTAATTGAGTGAAGGTCCAGAAAGTGAGTGAATCTCAAAAGCAGCTACAGCTAATGGTGATACACCGGAGGACAGGTACATGCTCTCTCATTCCCGGAGAAAAAAAATAGAACCTTAACCTTAAAAGGAGCTATCAAATGACTGGTTGACATACAAGGTCCTCCAGCTGGGAAACAAGGACTCATTAGTTACAGTATTAATATGCTCATTGTATGGTTGTCTGTATTCAGGGTCTTAATCAACAGCAATTTGCATTTGTATCAAGGCTTTAATATATTAAACGTTACAAGGAGTTCATAAAAACATGATCAGAAAAAAATACTGACCAGGCCATGTAGAAAGTGTGTGTGTGTTGTGGGGGGGGGGGGGGGGGGGGGGGGGGGGGGCACCTTTAAAGGAATTTGAACATAAGGATTTGAATTTTCAAATAGTCAACCTTCCTGTTCAGTGGCTAATCTGTCAGCCAGCTTGTGAGTAATACGCAACTGAGCTTTTCAACAAATTAGGATAACGACAGCAGAATTATGTTTGACGTGACGGTTATGAAGGTTTGCAAGGTGGGAGGCCAACTTGGAGAACACTGGAACAGACCAGTAAAGAGGTAAGGCAGGCATAAATAATGGCTTTAGCGACAGTTACATTGAAGCAGGTAGGTTGGTTGATGGTCTCAGTGAACAAGCATATATGGGGTCAGAATCTAGCTGTTTTCTACCAGTGATTAACAATTTCTCAAATGATTCTTAAATTCCACTGAACTAAAACACACCAAGTGCAGTACCCAGGGTACTATCACCTTGTGGTTCTGATACTGAACGAGCAAGCTGAATGTAAAGAATTCCATTAGAAGTTCTTTAGTCATAAATTTTCCTTCTGATGAAAGATTGCTGTTTCCAGATCTGCTGACTGTTTCCAGCACTTGTTTTTATTTTGGACCTCCAGCAACTTTGCTGAAGTAAACCCGCTAATATGTGGGCAAAAGATCTGGAAATGTCATACTAGTATGAATAGCTAATATATTTCAGGAGAGATTGGTCATTCTCCCTCATCAACTCCACACTATATGGTTGACTCTTAATTTTATTTGCTCCTGGGATGTGGGTGCCACTGGCTGGCCAGCATTTTCCTGTTTCCTGTTGCCCTTGAGAAGGTGGTGGTGAATTGCCTTCTTGAATTGCTGCAGTCCACAGGCTGTAGGTTGACCCACCATGTTCTTCAGGGAGGAAATTCCAGGATTTTGACCCAGCTGTGAAGGAACAGTGACATATTTCCAAGTCAGGATGGTGAGTGGCTTGGAGGAGAACTTGCAGGTGGTAGAGTTCCCATGTATCTGCTACCCTTGTTCTTCTATAGAGAACTGGTTGTGAGTTTGTAAGGTGCTGAGCAGCTTTGTTGAGTTTCTGCAGACCATCTTGTAGATAATCTTGTGGATAATACACATTGCTGCTACTGAGCGTCAGTGGTAGAGGGAATGGATGCTTGTGGATGTGGTGGCAATTAAGTGGACTGCTTTGTCTTAGATGGTGTCAGGCTTCTTGAGTTGCACTGATTCAGGCAAGCAGGGAGTATTCCATTACACACCTGACCAGTGCCTTGTATATGGTGGACAGGCTTTGGCGAGTCAGGAGACATCAGGTTACTCATTACAGTATTCCTAAGTCACTGATCTGCTGTGTAGCCACTGTATTTTTATGAAAAGTCCAGTTCAGTTTCTGATCAATAGTAACTTCCAAGATGTTGATAGTGGGGGACTTAGTCACGGTAACACTATTGAACGTTAAGGAATGCTGGTTAGATTGTCTCTTATTGGAGATGGTCATTACGTGGCATTTGTGTGATGTGAATGTTACATAATAGTCTGAAGGCATCTAATAAACTAACGTCTAATTTCTTAGAGAAGGGTGTTTTCCTTCTCCATAAAGATGAGGGTAGGAGCTTGAATGTGGAGTCAGTTCTGAGGAAATGCATTAAAGTAAAATCAGTCTAAGCAGATTTAACACTTTACATAAAACAAGTCAGTGCCAGAGCTAGGATATTAAAGCACACAAACAACTGAATCACTACTTCTTGCTCATGTGTTCAATCAAAACCCAGTCATACAACATTTTATGTAAATAAAGTTCAATATTTGTATAGGTCACTATAAACATGCTTTAAACATTCCAGTCACATCTTTTTATTATTTAAGACTCAAAGCCTTTAAACTTATTCATTTCTTATACACAGGATACAGTTAATTCACAAAACTTTATTCTTGCAGGCACAGAAAATATACAGCCATGTCCCCACCCATTAGAAGGAGAAAGAAGAAGATCTAAGTTTGGTGCCAGCAATTAAATCAACCAGTGTCTTCCCTACAAGAAACCCGGACCCTTGGTTGACTGACCTCCTGACCCTTCATCCCAGGAACTTCCAACACACCCAGTCAAAGCTTATTTTCAGCTGTACTGGCTGCATTAATGAGCAATGGATCATAAGCATACCTTCTCAGCCTCCTTACAGAGGATGTGTTTGGTTGGGGTCTTCCTTATGCAAAATCCCTACTACCCTTCCCCACACAAAAATCATTAAGTAGTTTTCCTGTTCAAAGCAGATGGTGTTGTTATATTTTTCATGAAAAACCAGAGTCCTTGATACCTCCTTCAAATTTAATTGTAAAAATGGCTAGGTTCACAGTTCTTTCGATCATCCTAGTTGTCACAGAAAACAATGAAGTTTTTTTTTTACTGGCTATAGCTATTACTCTAACAGTTTGTCTACAATGCTGCTTTTAAAAATTGTGTAATTCTTTAACTTCTCCAATCACAAGAAAACTGTGAATTTCCCAATAAGCCTGAGGGATTCTGCTTCCTTTTTTGTAGTCTCAAGTCAAAAATGAATCATAGCTTCAAGGGAGGTGTTGTGCTCATTCCAGTGTACAATCCAGTGTTGACTGTTAGAGCTGCATGGAAATGTGTAGAAGGACATGGGGGCTGTGTTAGATTGACTTCAACAGATATGTGGCATCTACTCGAGGCTGTCTCTCATCTGTGCATCAGGGGGCTATTCAATCATGAATTGCTGCATGATTGCAGCAACTTGCATTTGAGCCTGATTACTTACACAACACACACACCTTTTTATGTGTATGGATATAGACCCTTCGCTCCAACCGGTCCATGCCAAACATAATCCCAAACTAAACTAATCCCTCCTACCTGCTCCTAGCCCATATCCTTCCAAACCTTTCCTATTCATGTACTTATCCAAATGTCTTAAACGTTGTAGTTGTACCCACATCCACACTTCTTCAGGAAGTTCATTCCACACGTGAACCATCTTCTATGTAAAAAAACTTGCCCCAAGTCTTGAAATCCCCCATCCGAGGGAAAAGGCATCTCCTACCAACTGACTGAGCCATTGACAGATGGTTTTGAAATGGATAGCATTATGCCCCCAGCAACTTAGGATGTCAGGAATTTTCTCTTTGTTTTTTTGAAAACAGAAAGAGAATGGATAGTTTCCAAATGCACTGCAGACCAGTACTGTAGAACCTCAGTAAAACTGAAAACCTCTAAGTTCTAACATATTTGCTGTTCCCAGTACTTGTAACATTTTAAGGGATCTGCTATTTCTCCAAATTTCACCAGTTACCCTTTACTACTTGATACAATATTTTCTAATTAGGTGGGTTGCTTAACTGGAGAAATCTGAACCACAGGGACAAACGTGCTCAGTTGGGAAATGAAACTAATTGTTACGCTTTCCTAGAAAGATCATTCCTGGAGCCTTAAATTTTCCCTCTCCTGTATGAATCTGGTGAGGGATTCGGAGGGGGGATGAAAGGGACAGAAACCTTGAGAAATCTTCAGCTTAACCCCAACTGACCCATTGTGTATGAGTTGAGCGTGCAGAGTAGGCAGACATAACCATCACCTTAACTAACCTGCGCAAATATCTGGTAGGGGTGACAGGATAGCAATCAGCAACTATTAAGAACTCCCCCTCCTTAGCCCACGAGTCCAGAGACCTCTATCACGCAACACAAACTCGGGGTCTTCTGGTTCAAATGCCTCTTGCACTAAACTCACTGGTGCACTTGTCATCAAGTGAACTCTGACTGTATGAACCCAATAAAAACCCTTCATAGGCCAGGAAGCATTACACTGAGGTCAAATCAACCCAGGTCAAAATCAAAGGGATACAATTCAATCTGGCATGTGACCACTGTTACTGACACACTTTGGGAATCTTAACATTTTAGCCATGAATGTAAACCCCATCACTACCCCCACAGGAAGTAGACAGTGAATAAAACTCTTGCAGCAGTGAAGGGAGGCTGCTGAAAGCAATACTGGATCAAGGAGAAGGCTGGCACACAAATGATCTTCTGACCCCTTTTCAAACAAAGCACTCAAGTCACGCACTGGAGAAAGGGGGTTGGGCAGACAGGCATAGTCCAACAAGGGAGAATCAGAAATCCAAGAAAAATGGGAGGGAGACAAAATGCTCACTTGAAGAAGAAATCAGTGCCACTGTGCAAGTTTCTTCTAGATTTATTGCCTTGGAATGTGTGCTCACTTCAATGAAGGGGCATTTGGCAGTGTCCCAAGTTGCTGCTCCATCATACAGCAAAAAACCCTACACTCCTGTGCCAGAATGGGGCATACAGAACAAAACATGTCTTGTCCACCTGCAAAAGGAAATAACAAAGTTTAGTCTTAAAAGGGGGACAATGTGAGAAATAAAAGCAAGCTCCAGGACAGGGATTACAGCATGCAGTCTATTCAAACATTACAGACACAGATTCTTGTACATCAGGCTCTAGTCAATATTCTTCACACAGCGTCTTAGCCAACCCAAACGAAGAAATAAAATCTTACAAAATGATGCATAAAACCAGTGAGGATATCTATACATTAGTACTGCATGATACACAAGAAACCAAAGGGTAGACCGATACAACAGAAAGGACCAGTACTACAAGGCCAGGCAGCCATGTTCACTTTATAAAGTATTGGGAGTTTTAGTGGAGTTACACCGTCAGGCAGTTGTTTCATATCTTTTAAGATTTCCGATATCCTGAAAAATGAGGCTAAGGTACAAATACTATTACTCAAATATGCACACTGACTATCCATAATTAACTCTGCCTATTTAATATTTATTATGGTGTACTATAGACAGACATAAATGCACACATATCACCAGTGCCTTTTGCACCCATTCTCACCAAAAGTATTGATTATGAAGTCTGGAAATTGAAAATTGCTACTTAAAAATTTAGAGCAATTATGGAAGTCAAAAATCAGATTACAAGCTCAGTTCTGATGAAGAACAACTTTCAGCCCATTAGTTCTTTTTGCCAGAATATCAACTCTACCCACTTATCAGTGAGGCTTTTTAGTATTTTCACGTCAAAAGATGAGCAAAACCTTGGTTACTCATGTCACCCAAAGGTTAACATGTTTAACATCCTTGTAACTTTTCTCTGAACTGATCAGATGTGGTCCTGGAGACTAATCTGAGATTCCAGGAAAATCGTGTTGGCATTCTGCAAGAAATGGTACTGCTACATATCGTAATGGAGCAATGACCAAATAACTCCAACTAACTTCCTGATGATCTCCCCAACAGCACAAGTTGTTGTGTGATTCCAAGCAGTTTGCTCCCAAATCCATTCTAAATGCAGGAAATAACCACTTAGAATCAGGAATTCAGGTACAAGACCTGATTCCATTTCCCAATTAGTTGCTATAATCTGTAATGATGAAACTTAATTCAGTAATGGCTGTTTCATAGATCTCGACAAGCATTCAGTCTTGCGAAACAGCCAATTGTCCATTTATTCATTTTCAATTCCTGAACCTCCATCCTCTTCTCCTTTGCCAATACAGACACATTTTCTACCAGGGTCAATCAGGAATTTAACAGGAACAGCAACCCTAGGCTGACTGTAGCTACCTATTCCTGTCTGGGCTGAGACTACTTAGAGCCACACAGAATAAGATAGAAGCTGGCAAATTTCAGCCAGGGGATTTTACTCCCAATGAACTGACCCGCTTTTTCATCTATCCAATACTAGCCTTAGGTTTGTTTGCCTTAAGGTGAAATTAATTGCTGAGGGTCAACAATATCATTTTAAAATCCTGAGATACATTTCCCCTACGCTTTTTAGTAGTGTTGTTGTAAGATGAACAAACCCTGTCAATTTGTAATGATTGGTTATGTGCCATAACTATTCTATCATATAAATGTCTTTTTTTTGCCAATCACTTGGTCCCCCTACCAATGGGAAACATTTCTCTCATTTTCTGATCGAGACTCCTCTTCCTGAAGACTTCCACCGAATCTCCAACCTCCCCCATCCCCTTCAAGGAGAACAATCTCAGCTTCTTCAAACTATCCTTGCAATCAAAGACCCTCAGCTCAGAATATTCTCACAAATCTCTCTGCACCCTGTGTAGAGTGCTTTGTCAGTGCTGGACACAACACACCAGCTTAGGCCAAATCAGAGTTCTATAGAGCTTCTTCACATGTTCCCTGCTTTTGTATTCTACACCTCTATTTATAATGCTCAGGATCCCATCAGCCTATTTAATGTAATGGCAGAGCGGAACCAAGAGATCATATGGCCTACTGCCGCTCCTATTTCTACTGTTGTTCTACCATAAAGAGGTGAAAAGTTCAATCTAGTGACCAAAATATACTTGTATTTTTGCAGAAATGAAGCCTTTCAAACCCTAGCAACCTGGCTACAAACTCATTCTTATTTCGGTTCCTGCCCCAATGATACACACTGGGAAATGTCAAAATTATATCAGGATAATTTAAAACCTTGAGCATTCATGAAAAAAGGCGACACCAATCCTACTTGTACATTGTATTAACCTGGCTCAGAAATACTGGTCTATTAATTAGAATAAACATGAAAGCAATCCTGGACTCTAAAACATCTGTAACAGCTGGGAGTGCTATCAATATTATTTAACATATTCAACCAAGAACACTGTGCAAAAAACACAATCATATACATAATAGAATATAGTATACTTCTCATAATATTCATTCCCATGAACTTTCTCCTATCTCTATACCCACTAGTATTGTACCCCAGGGTTATAGTTGACAGACCTTATCCATAGAATTGCACTCCAGTATTTTGGTTGATGGACCTGTCCACAGCAGTAATGCACCCCACTGTTTTGTTTAACAGACCTGTTCCCACGAAAACACACTCCAATGTTATTCAGTGACAGACTTGTATCCACCAGTTCTCACATCAGTATTGTACAGTGACAGATCTGTACCCACCAGTAATGTACCCCAGTGATATACAGTGACAAACACGTATCCGCCAAATACAGCACCTCAGTGTCATTCTGTATTCACCAGTACTGTATCTGTTATACATTGACATACCTGTACCGACTAATACGCTACTCGAATGAAATACAGTGAAATAACTGTATCCACAGTGTATTGTACCAAAATGTTATAGAGAATAAATTGTTCTCTCCAGGCACCACCCAAGTTTGGAATAGTTGAATCTGGAATTGTACTTACAGTGGTTTCTCTCAGTTACAGATGAGAACCAAACACACTAGCCAAAATTTAATGAAATGCTGGTAGCCAGACTGCCAACCAACCCAAGGATACAGGCATGAACTGTGCTTCAGGATACCCTGTACAGGTCTGTGCAACACAGCACTCTAATATATTGCTTCCAGTATACACTCTCCAGCTGACTTCCTTGAGCTTTTGAAGAATGTTTGCTTTGAGAATTTCCTTGCAGATTGCATTTAGGGGGTTGGACAGCTTAATTCAGAATATGGAAGCATAATCACAGAGGCATTTTGTTTGGACCATTATGTGGCAAGGGACTTGCCCTGTAGTAATGGTGGTATCGGTCAACCCTTAACACCAGGAATGACTGCATTACATGATTTTGTGCATAGGTGACAGAGAGAAGAACTGCGTGCGTGCATGTGTGAAACAGAGTGGTTTATGTGTGAGAGTTTAGAAAAGCAGTGAGTGTGAGAAAGGCAGAGTGCCAGAGTGTAGTGTGTGAGAGAGGCAAAGACAGGGATGTATGCATGACAGTACGTTAGAAATACACAGAAGAGGGAGACAGAGAGAGTGAGTGTGTGTGCGCGTGCACGCACGCACGAGACAGACACAAAAAGAGCTCATTTTGCAATGGAGTTCAACAGTCACTGGAGCCTACACCGGCAGCAGGAATAACAGACTCCTGAGAGACAATGCCACTTCACTCTATCCTGGTTGAATAACAAGGTCATTATTTGTGTGTATTGTTTACTCAAATCCTTCATATCAGCTTGTTCCTTTTCCAGCGTGACAGGAAGCCACAGAGTGCGACAGTGCACCAGCAGGAAGGGGGGCAGCTGCCGGGGGGCTGCCTTTAGCATGTCACTCTGCATAATGCATAATAGATTCCACGTAGTTGCCAGGAAACAAACCGGTCACTCCGTTCATCACTCCTTCATACCAGCCATCGTCGTTCTTCTTCAATACATAAATAATGGCACCTTCTTGGAAAGACAATTCATCTTCTTTATCTTTTGAATAGTCATAGATAGCAACCACTGCGAATAGAGAACAGGAACAATTAATACTGGCACAATGGCTCAGGCCATAACCAAGAAAAATGGATCTGTTAAGTAACCTTTCGGTGTTTGGTCTAAATAGCTACTGTAGAAGTTCAGTGGGTTTAGTGCCACAAACAAGGCCAGAATGCATTGTCCATGCCAAACTGCCCTTGATGAGTGGCTTTCTAGGCTACTTCAGAGGGCAGTTAAGGGTCGACTGCATTGCTGAGTCTGGGTCAGATGTAGACCAGACAGGGAAAGGACAGTAGATTTCCTTACCTAACAGACGTACGTGAACCAGATCAATTTCGGCAAATATCAATAATATGTCAAGGTCATCATGACTGAAATTCACTTTATATTGCAGATTTATTAATTGAATTGAAATTCCACCAGTTGCTGTGGTGGGATTTGAACTCGTGTCCCCACGAGTTTGGACCTCTGGATTATTCATGCAGTGGCATTAGCAGTCCTCCACTGTCTCCCCGACTGTACTATTCCAAGTTGTAAACAGTTTTACTTTATGTGCCCTAGCAAAATCTGTGATTTGAACACCTCTGAAACCTCTTCATTGCCATCTCAGGAGAGAAATCCTAGCCACTTCTGTTCCTGCAGTTAGTAAAGTCTTTTGTCCTTGTTGTTCTGGTAAATTAGTGAAATTTGTGGGGCTTGAATTATCCTAATATAGATCAGGATAGTAACATTGTAAAGGGAAAAAGCAGGGCAAGGAATTCCTGAAATGTGCATGATGAAAATTTCTTGAACAGGGTTTCTAGAAAATAAGGATGCAGCACTAATTCTAGCTGTGGGAATGTGGACCATTTTTCAGTGTGGAAACATTTGGTGAGCAATGATCATACTAGCAGGTTTATAGTATCTGTGGAAAAGGACAACAGAAAATCAAAAGGTTCAGTTGCTCAACCAGTGTGTAGAAAAGCAATCTGTAAAAGTATTGATTGAAATCAAAAATAGGAGAACAGTAGTTAAAAATAGAAGGCCTTCAAAGTTGACATGATTCTGGTACAGAAAGAAAGCATATTCAAACTTGGAGCTCCCTGGATGACAAAAGACAAAGATCAAATAAAAGGTAATATTCATTATAGAGAATCAAGCTGAATACTGAAAGTAGAGAGATCTAAAATCAGTGTGTAAGATAGTTAAAGAAAGAGTAGAAGAATAGGTTAGCACCTAGTTTGAAAGCGAATACAAAAGCCCTGTTTAAAAACCATAAAGACTTTTCAAAACAAGGGATATGCTGATTTAGGATCAAAAAGGAGATGTTATGGTAGGACTTATACTCTGGTATTAAAGGATTACTTTGCATCAGCCTGCATCAGAGAAAAGCATCCTATTCAGTCGGAAAGGAGCAAATAGTGATTATTAGATACAAGTAAATAAGTTCTTGGTATGAAAATGGTTTTACATTGACCACTGACCTCATCCAGTTTTTACTAAACCCACAATGAACAAGCATGTTAGAGGAACACCATCTAACACAAGGTGAAGAAATAAATGAATCAAAACCAGTCAAGTCAGTGTTCTGACCCAAGGTGTGATCATTAGCTAAGATAGGATGGAATTAGATTTAATGGACAACTTAAATCATTTCACAAACAATTTAAGAGGTGTATAAACTTGTACGTTAAGACTCAGTGGTTACCACTGCTGCCTCACAGCAACAGGGACCTGGGTTCAATTCCAGCCTCAGGCGACTATCTGTGCAGAGTTTGCACATTCTCCGTTTCTGTGTGGGTTTCCTCCGGGTGCTGTGGTTTCTGCCCACAGTCCAAAGATGTGCAGGTTAGGCGGACTGGCCATACCAAATTACCCATAGTGTCCAGGAGTGTGTAGGTTAGGTGGATTAGCCATGGCAAATGCAAGGTTACAGTGATAGGGCAGGGGGTGAGTCTGGGTCACATGCTCCTTAGAGTAGGTGTGGACTTATTAGGCCGAATGGCCTATTTCCACAATGTAGGGATTCTATGATAATTATATAGCAGATAAAGTATTTCCACATAACTCATTAATCATCATCCCCATATGTCATAATCAGACCCATAGCTCTTGAGATAAATAAATTATGCAGTTGTCACAATTCTAGACCAGAGAGAATTTCCCTTTTACAAACTGTAAAATGCTTAAACTAAAATAGTGAATCCAATTCTCCAAAGTGAAACATTTAAAACTATAAAGAGAAGAATTCAAAGGCATTGCTTGGTTTTATCTGTCTCAATTTCCATTCTTGCAAGAAGAAACTTGGTTGTTTGGGTAACTTCAGAACAACTCAATTTTTGAACCACGAGTCAGAATCTTGTGGGAAGAAAGAGGCAAGCAATATAAACTAAATTGTCTCATTTTAAAGGAGGTGCAAGAATAGAGGAATCTTGGGATGTACATATACAAATTTTTTAAGGCAGCAGAAAGTTGAAATGGAAATTAACATACAAATAGAGGCATTGTACAAAACCAAGGAAGTTAGAAAATACCTTTATAAAACACAATTAGGCCATTAATTTGTAGCACTATGTCCAATGCTAGGCACCACACTTCAGGAATTGTGGAGAGTTGTTTTCTGAAATGATAACAAGGATAGATGGTCTTGTGGTTACGTGGAAAGAGTGGAGTGCTGTTTGTTCTCCTTGGAACAGAGAGGTTAACAGGAGATTCAATAGAGATGTTTTCATTAATGAATGGTACTCATAGACTGAATAAGGAAAACCTTTTTAGTGGCTGAAGTGTCTACAACTAGAGGACACAGATTGAATAGAATAGGCAGAAGAACCAGAGGGAGATGAGATAGCAAGAACTGCAAATGCTGGAGTCAGAGATAACAAAGTGTGGAGCTGGAGGAACACAGCAGGCCAGGCAGCATCAGAGCAACAGGAAAGCTGACGTTTCGGATCAGACCCTTCTTCAGAAATGGGGAGAGGAAAGGTAGCTCAGAAATAAATAGAGAGGGGAGGGGTGGGGCTGCGGAAGGTAGGTGGGATGGTGATAGGTGAGTGCAGGTATGCAGTGGTAGGGATTGGTCAGTGAGGTGGGAGAGAAGATGGACAGGTTGTGTCAGGTCAAGGAGGCAGGGATGAGAGGGAGGGTTGATCATGGGATGAGGCTGGAGATGGGGAGATTTGAATAGAGGGAGATAAGAATTCTTTTTGCAGAGTATATTATAATGATCTAAAACGGTCATGGAAGCAGATTCAATAGTAACTTTCAAAAGAGAATTGGATAAATATTTGAAACGGAAAAGGTTGCTGGACTATGAAAAAAACCAGGGAGTAGATCTAATTTAGACTAATTTAAATGCTATCAGAAACTTTTCTAAGTTTCTAACTTTTCTGGACAATGTCCAGCATATGCTGGGGTATCAAAAGCTATCAAAGGAATCAATTCATGAAAAAAAGCGTTCGATGCTAAACTCTCAAGTTAAAATCCTTCATAAAGGTTAAACAGCCTCAACTCCAGGTTGAGATCATTACATGTAGTTTTGAACTTTATTACTGTCACATTCCAGAAACTGATCTTTCTGGCATGTTGTCAGAATAACACCCCTCTGTACTTTTGCTAATCCTAAACACCCGCAATGTCAGCTAACCTTCAGGAACATTGAGATCAGAAATAATGCCTCTAGTGATGGATATTCACAAAACCTGGAACCTCCTGATGAAGATTGCCGAGAACTGCTGGAAGGTGCATCAAGATCATGTCATGCAGTGTAAATGGAAGAATATGAAAATAGCAAAACTGGAAGGAAAGGTTGGAAGATGGACCCAAAACTGGTCTTTAAGAAAATCAAGGGTTCTGAGGAGGTAGGTATTTAGAAGATATCTCCTCTTGTCAGGGAGCATAAACCTAGAGGACATCCCAGTAGATTCAGTTCAGGATCTAAAATGTGATATGGATATGAAACTCTGCCCCAAAATAAGTGAATTGAATTGTACAGTTGCAGTTAAGAAGAAACTAGAGGAACACATGGGGAAGAAACTAGAGGAACACATGGGAAAGAAAGGAACAGGAGAATAAGCTAATAAGGTTGGGTGAAGAAGATGCTCATGTGGAGCATAAACACAGGGACAGATCAAATGGACACATTCTGTTCTGCAGATTCTATGCAATTCTACGTAATTTCTATTCAATATTGAAAGACATCTGCTGCCTGGCTACGAAGATGTTACTGTCATTTATTTCTGTGGAAATTTAGATAGTTTCAAGTTGTGCATCTGTGGAAACGTATATCTGTGGTGAGTGTCTCAAGGGATCTTGGCACAGGTTACAGAATAAGGTCCAGCCTGGAGATAATACATTTTGTTGACAGCTCTGACTGAGATCATTGATGAGGGGATGCTGCTGTGGATTGCACGGAGTTTAATGTGTTTCAGTAGGGTGTGTTATGTGCCGAATCAAAAATTAGTATAGGTAACATTGTTTTTTTTAAGCAGTAGCCTGGTCGACAATATAAGAAATGTGTTTATGGTTGAGAATCTAGATATTTTAGAGAAAGCAAAAGACATCATTCTTCATTTTACTTAGCAAAGAAAGTAATGCAAGATGAATTGTTGAGTCACTTGTCTGAGACCGGGGATTGAATTTTACAGCTCCACCTCCCCACCTTCTTATTAGAAAGGGAAGAGGGACACTAAAGAACTGCCCCCCATATTACGTGGGCTGAGGAAAGAGGCAGCAGCACCTGAAAGTCCATCCACTTGTTGACCAACTGAGGCCTTGAATTGGCTGTTTAAGGACCACGTTCAACCACCACCACAAAAAAGTTTGGCTATGCAAGGGCCACTCAGCAGGAGTGAAGCAGGAAGGAAGGTAGGATAGCACACTCAGACACATTGTGCTCAATGCAGGCACTTCCAACCCACTTCCCCACAAGATGATAACCTCCTCCTTTAGTATTTCACCCTGAACCCAGCCTATAAAATCCTGTTCACAGGTAGGGTCCCCAGCTATAACCCTCGGACTCATCACCAATCTTAGGAGACATGTTGCTTCTTCTTGGGACTATCTGTAGTTCCAGCAGTGGCCACTAATTACTTTGAGTGCTGTTGCCATTACAGAAGTTCCAGTTAATCAGACTGATCAGCAGTTCTCAAGGTTTGGGGCTTCCTATCCTGGAAGGATTGCAAACCCATTCTCAGGTAGTTAACCATGGCCCCAAAATATTATCATGGTGACAGGAATATGATCCCCAAAAAATTCACCCCAGATCTTAGTTCACAGCCAAAGTCTTAGTCTCCCAATGCAACACATTCAATCTACAAAGAGACATCTGTGTAAACCACTACATGATGCTTTCAAGTAGATTGCAAAGCAAGGATCAAGAGATTTCACTAAAATGTTACCTATACTGCTGGCAGGAAAAGACTCCAGATGATAGCATTCACTTACAGATTGGCATAGGCCAGTGATGCTGAACCCTGGAGAGTATCTCACATCGAAAAGCATGATAATACTATGAATTACTGAAAATTGACTGAATGTGGAGGTATGGGCAGAATGGAAAGTCAGAATAAGCACCACAAGTTTCGTGTTTTCTGTTCCACTGACCTTTCTCCAAATAGTTCTTGGGTGCCCACGGTGGATCCTCCTCAGCATACGGGTCACTGTACTCTACCACAGCTGTCTCTTCCTCCTCATAATCCTCTGGTGGTGGGGGAGGAGGGGGTGACTCATCAAACACAACATCATCAGCCGGTGGAGGAGGAGGAGGAGTGGAGCCGTCTGAAACTTTAAGTTGATATCATGTTAAAGGAAAAGACCAGTTGTATGGTATCTTTCATGGCGTCACAACATCACAGTGTTTCACAGGTAACTAAGTATTTTGAAGATAAATCTCAGTTGTAATAAAAAAAAAGACAGCCAATTTGTACAATTCAAGCTCCCACAATGTGATAAAGTGACCATATAATCTGTTTCAGGTGTTGATGGAGGACAGTATCAGTCCAGGATACTGAGGAGATGCCCTGATCTTCGAATAATGTCACATGTTTAAGACCAGAGGCAAGATGGGACCTCAGTTTTAACGTCTCATTCAAAAAATGGAATCCCCAACAGTGCAACACACCCTCAGTACCGCATTGGAATATCAACTCAGATTATTATCTGGAGCAGGCCTTGAACATGAATTATTTCTGGTTCAGAGGTATTCGTAAGCCAAGGAAACTTGCAATGAGCTTGCAATTTGCAACAGATTATACTCGCTGAATATCTGCATCTTGTTTGCAGAAACCTCCTTTAACTTCATGAAGTTTATGCAAGTTCTACAGAAAATAATATTTTGCTAACATTGGCCAAATAATTAAAATTTTCATTGATGAGTAATTTTTATTTTATTTTGAAAGTAAATTTGCTTCCATCAATTTCAAAGTCCCTGGCCTCAAAATAGTTTCAGTGATACAGATCAGAAAGAATGTCCTTAAACAAAAACGCTGCTGTGTACTGTCCAGCTTGTGACAAACCTTCATGAGGTGGCCATTTTCTCCATCCAAAATGAGACATAGAATTGTCAAACATCATGTGAATCAGATAGTACAGTATTTAGACTCTACTGGGATATGGTGCAGAATCTACACTGACTGCAGGATGAAGTCTTCACTGCTGACAGAATCTTAAATCAGTTTGAACAATTTCAAGACAAGCGCTTAAAGGGCATAGATAGAAAATGACAGAGAGGCACCCAATGGGTAACTTCACCCAGAAAATATCAGATGTGGAAAATGGTAAAAAGGTTACACTTTTGAATTCAGGTATATCTTCAAAGATTGCAGCATAGGTTCACCTTTGGAGCAGGGTAGATAAGCTTCTTGCTGAATCCAACACTAGTTTGGCATGTGTGACCGGGCTTCATTGAGGACATGTGATGCCAATGGGACTATACCCATCATGCATTTTCGGGAGGGACTGAGAGAACAGGGGAAAATGTAATGGCACCTTGCAAAGAGGTCATTCGTTGAGGAGTATTACTGTGACAGTTTCCTACAAAATTCAAAACCCATGTATTTGTGCTGGACAGAATCTTAGCTGTAGTGACCTGTTTTCAAAGATAACATACCCAAGAAGAGTGCTAAATGATATTGTCTTCCAAGTGAATTCTGGGCTCTAACACACTACTTTGCATTTACTGAATCTACTGGGGGCACTTGAAATTAATTGTTGGGCTAACATGGACAAAGTTTGGTTCTGCTTTACTTTCTGTCACAGCTCACAGGGTTTTGTTTCTATCTGCCCCATTATCCATGTTTTCATCACCATCTCATGACGACAAGATCGTTTTGGTCTTCATTAGCAACTGCATCGCCCAGATCATTGTCAACCTCTGTGAACGTTGTTCCCAAATATCTTTCCTTCTCCTCCACATTCTAGAGAATAATCACTATCTCTGGAACACTCTTGTTCATTCTTCCATGACTGAGTTCTGGTTGGCCTGCCAGTGATACTCCCAATCAAACTGTAACAGATGCTTCTCTTATACCAACATCCGGATCCCCACATATCCCACACATATAATTGGAACGCATTACGTATATATCCTTGCTCCAATCTCATGTAAATGAATTCATAACTTGCTCTGCAGTTTCCTCTACATTGGACATAATGTAGTATGAGTGACTGCTTTGCAAAACATTTTAGTGAATAAATGTGCCAGTGATCGCTTTGTGACTGGTCTCTTTAACTACTTCTACAGTTCGTGTTCCAACCCATGCAATTCTGCCCTTCAACACTTACCTAACAATGATCCCGACAATTCCTAGAATGTTTAGAGACTAACTTCAACAAGGCTAGACCTGAACCACCTCTCCAATCTTCTTGCCAGTCTCTTGCATTTACCATTCCTCATCATTTCAGAAATGTTATTGTTTCCTTCCTGTGTCTCCCCATTGCCTCATTCAACTTGTACTCCGTACAAGTTTTTAATTTTTTTCAACAAGCTGTGAAATATAATTAACTGCCTTTGCAGGATGGGACCTGCTGTTCCCTTCATCCCTTTCATTTTTTACAGTCCTAACTCAGTCAAGCTTCCAATTTTCAGTATTGTGCAATTTCTATAATAAAGCCATGAATCAATCTTTGGCCCTTGAACCTGCTGGACTTGCTGCTTTTCTTTTGACTTAAAATGGAACTCTTAACTCTGCATCCAACTTGTGCCGTATCTATCCTGGAATGTTTGAAGGAACAGAGAAATATTTACAACGTGTACAACTAATACTTTACCTTTCCTGGAGTATCCAAGGGGACAGCATAGTGGGAGCTTTACTCTGTACCTAATCCTAGTCTAAATGTGTTTGATGGGACAGCTTAGAGGAAGGTTCACTCTGTGTCAAACGACTGTTGTACCTGCCTAGGGAGTATTTGATGTGACAGTTCAGAATAAGCTAGACTTTGTTTCTGCAATGTATTGTACTGACCGTGGGCTTGTACAGTGATGGATAAGTTGAAAATGTTTCTTGTTTTGATTGTTTTGTTCTTGGTGTAATGTTTTTGCAGAACCTCTGTGTACACAGAGAACCTAACTGCCCAGGATAGAATGTGGAAAGCGTGGACTTACTGTTATCTTGAACTCTGGCCACGAAGCCCATCAGCGGCAGTTGAGGTGTAACCTGCAGAATAGAAGGTGGCGGAGGAGCCAGTGGCGCTGCACACAGGAGCAGACACACAAATGAGGGACAGGAAAGGAACAAACACCCATGAGAAGCAGTAGAGAAAACATTTTCAAGCAAAACAAGAACATACCCACAAAGCAAGGCTACATCAACAAACCCACATCAGGTTCGGAGTCAGAAGAAAGAGGCATTAGACAGGAAATGCTGCTCACGGAGACTGATCAATGTCAGGAGCAGGAACACATTAAAATATATCATTTAGACCGAGTGACTTCACGACTGCTTAAGAATGAGAGAGATGATGTTGATTCAGTTTCAGCCTCCTGTAAATACATTTATTACCATACTAGCTTTTGTCCCACAGAGCTCCCTGTGGGTATTCTGAGATCTGAAACACAGGCATAATGTTTAGATCTTAGCCAGGCTCTTCAAGGAAAATGCTCATGAATTCTGTGTCAGGAAATGATGGCGAATAGTTTGGTGGGGTCACTTAAAGATTAATTCCTTTTGTTGGATTAGTATTGATCAAAAAGAGCAGTGATCCTAATATCAACACTTGACAAACACTGCTGCATGCCTCCCTCCTGTCTGTAGACCAAATGTTCATTATTACTCTCTACTTGTCTCTTAGCCAGTTTTTCTTTTTTTATCCATGCTGATTTGTCCTGTGACACCATAGATTTACTTTTTTTTAGAATTTGTTCATGGGATGTGGATGTCACTGGCTGGGCTAACATTTATTGCTTGTCCCTAATTGACCTCAGAAAGGTCACGGTGAGCTTCCTTCTTGAACCAGTGTAACCCACGTGGTGTTAGGAAGGGATTTTTCAGGATTTTGACCTTGCAACAGTGAAGGAATGGCAATATGGTTCCAAGTCAAGATGGTGTGACTTGGAGGGGAACTTGTAGGCTGTGATGTTCCCATGTATTTTCTGCCTTTCTCTGTCCATTTGGTAGAGGTCACAGGTTTAAAAGGTGTTGTTGAAGGAGCCTTGGTACGTCACTGCAGTGCATCTTTAGATGGTACACACTGCTGCCACTGTGTGTTGGTGATATAGGGCATGAACATTTAAGGTGGTGAATGGGATATCAATTAACCAGATTGCTTTGTCTGGATAGTGTTGAGTTATTGAGGCTACAGTCCTTTAGGCAACGGGAAGTATTCCATCACAGTCCTGACTTGTGCCTTGCAAATGGAAAGCAGGATTTGGAGTTACTGCTGAAAAATTTCTAGCCTCTGACCTGCTCTCTTAGCTGCAATATTTATATCACTGGTCCAATTCAGTTTTAAGGTCAATGGTAACACCCAGGATATTGATTTTACTAACAGTTCTATCATTAGCACTTTATTTAAAGTCTATATATAAAGTCCACCTTGATGCATCCTCTGAAACACTTCATAAATTAAGTCACTCACATTTGTTCAACAAAATTTGCCTTTAATGAGTTTCTGTTGCCTGTCATTTATTAACCCAAGATTTTCCAAGTAGCAATTAATTTTGTCCCAGATTACTGTCAGAAAGATTTTCACCAGCGTGTTTCAGCCTATAGATGACAGATATAATTTCCCTCTCTGTCATAGTCCTCAAAGTCCTTTGCCACCACTCCCAAATACCACATATTTTCAGGGACCTCTTGTTGTGACAACTTTATAAGAAGTTAGAGCTGAAGTCTAAGTTATCGGATATGACAATTTAATAATAAAATAGAGCAAGGCTGTGGATCATTGGTCATAACACAGCTTCGTAATTAAATATAATCAGATTTTGGGTCCCTGATTTTGATAGTTTTGTCAGAAGTCAATTTCATAATGAAGCGTTTACACAATGAGGATGAGTATACAAAAAAAATAATTAAATGAATTGTAGCTCTCCTGCCGTTCTTATGTTTGCCAAAGATCACTGGAGCAATATCATCCAGCTGTGCAATGATGTAGGATTTTGTGACTTACTGAAGAATCAAAATGATTAACTTTGAGAATCTCAGTTCTTTATGAATGTGAACAAAACATCTATTTGTACATCCAGTTCTGCTTCTGAGAATGGAGTAGAAAAACACCTGCATTTTCAAGATTTTTATTTCTCCCTGTTTCAATTCAAAGTCCCCAGAGTTGAACTGCAGAAGAGAATTACGACAAAAAGCAAGTATCATCAAACGTCATCTTTACCTCTTGATTCAGTTGCCTGGTTCTGACTGTAGTATGGGCCCCCGTTGGCTTGATTCTGGACATTACCCTGCGAGGTCATGGAGGGTGGCCGCCTATAGCCAGGTAGAGATCCTCCTATGGTGGTAGGATTCTGCCGCTGCACTGGTCGATTCATGCTGTAGAATTGAGGAGTGTGCCCTAGAACATTTGAGAGAAATTCACATTTAGACACTGAATAAGTCGCGTGGAGAAAATCCCCATAAATGACTAAGAATTTGTATTTCTATCAAGCCTTTCATGACCTTGTGACTTCCCACGGAACTCTACAGCCAATGAAACTCTGAAGGGTAGTCACTGATATAAGAATTGCAACTGTGAAATTGCAAGATCCCAAAAACAGCAACGAGGAAAGACTTCTTCACATACTATGCCTGAAACTGCTTTCAGCACAAAACAAAGGGGCTGAACAACCTGTTTCTGTGCTGTAAGTTCTGTAATGTGATCTAATCTGTTTGTGATGTTGGTTGAATAGATTTTGGTCAGGACAACGAGACAATTCCACGACTCTACCTGCCACAGGATTTTTTACATCCAGCTGACTGAGGGGATAAACCAGTTAAATTATTCAGTGGAAAAGTGGACAATTTTTCAATAGAGATTTTCACCCAGGCATGAAGAAACCCAATAGATTTGAGCACCAGCTTTATTTAAACTATATATACCACAAATCATGATTAAATATAGCTAACATAGCTAACAATAGCGTAGCTATTCAGCGATTTGTCCTGCATATCGCAACAAATAAGTGACATGGATTTCTCCCTAATTCCACCACATGAAAGTGAAGAAAAGGCCAAGTGGAAATGGAGACATTTTCATGCAAGACATGCAAACCAATCACCTGCTTAGAAAGACTCACCTCATTCATACTGCAATGCAGCCAAATAAAGGCAATGGAAAAGGTGCTTCGCAGGCAGCTTTTACGTGAACAAATAACAGACCGACTCCAGCATTGAGATATTGAATATGATAAAGCAGCCCCCCAGACTCCCATGTGTGTAAGTGAGGCCAACATACCAGCATGTCTACATTTCAATCCAGGCTCTGTCACTCAACTGATTGATAGTGGGATTCTGGGTTGAAGAAGCCAACTGGAACAGGAGGGGGCATCTTAAGACAAACCAGCAGCAATTACTTGTCTATTGTAACATATTCACTTTTTGCCAGAAACAGGACAGAGCCTTAGGGGAGGAAGCAGGCCAGTTAATCCCTCTCCTTGCCCTAAGGTGATCTGTAGCATCCTTAATGTGACCATAGTTGAGATCAGCACAGGCCAAGGCTAAAGTTAAAGCCATGGTTCAACTCTGGATGACTTAGTGCTTTTTCAGTACTATCCTAGTCATGAGGAAGCCTTCAGAACTTTTTGTGAAAGACTTAACTGAATTTTTTGCTGAGTTGCCAATAATCAAATGATGTTAAAGCCACCAGCTCCTAAATGTTCTGCAGCGGTCAAGACGTTACTTGAAAATCATGAAATTTCATGAAAATCACACAATCACATCTGAAACAGTGGCACATGCTGCTTTCTCTTTGCATCTGGTGACTCAGTGATTAAATGTCCCTCCCAGAGAGGTACAAAACAAAGAGGCCTGAACTTTGATTGTGTATAACAAAAGAAAAAGCTGAAATAGGATATTTAGGTTCCTCGAGCCTGCTTCAGCACCCTGTAAGATCACAGCTGATCTCACCATGGCCTTAATTCCACTTTCTGCTTACTTCCCACTACGTCCTGCCCACCAATTACACTAGACTCCCTTAAATATCAAAAGTCTGTCTGAAAGCCTTGGATATATTCAATTATCCAGCCTCCACTGCTCTCTCTTTAAATATTTCAACAGAATCATCTCTCATTCTTCTAAACCCCAATCAGTATTGGTCCAAACTGGTCAACCTTTTCAGATGTCAACCCTTTATTACAGGAATCAACCTAAACAGCATTCTCTAAACTGCCCCAGTGCAAACATATCCCTTCTTAAATAAGAAGACTAAAACTGTATGCAGCATTTTAGGCATGATCTCAACAGTGCAGAGTTAACCAAGCCCTTACTACTACTCACATGGCCCCTATTCTAGAACAGGAATTACCAGGTGCAACTCCCTCTTCTGATCATGACCCAGAGCTTTGCAGTGATGTCCCACACTAGGTGCATAAACATTGGGATGCCTATTTTCCCAACATGAGAACTAGAAGAGCCAGTCAACTTTGAAAGCCTGTTTCACCAGTGGCTGAAATGTAACTCAACTCCATTTACCCACTATTAGTCCTTATTCCTTAATATCCAAACTAACAAAGTCAATCTGTGTCTTTGAATTTATCCCAAGCAACAGCATCCTTCTGGGGAAAGTTTTAAATTCCCACTACACTGCGTACAAAGAATTGCTTCCCAATTTTACTCATGAATAGACTAGTTCTAATTCCCACAAGAGAAACCAATTTCCCTCTAACTATCTTATATCCCTGTATTGTTTTCTAAGAATACAATTAGGTCAACTCTGAACCTTCAAATCTCAAGGGACAAGTTCATGCAAGCTGACCTCACCTTTTAAAATCTAGTGTTACTCTGGTGAACCTATACTGCAAAAGAACAATATATATTTCCTGGGGTTCAGGACCTGAAGCAGAACGTAGGCCCCTAGAGACAGTCTGATCAAGGTTCAGTGCAATTGGATTCATAGACAACAAGGGTCACTGCCAACAGAACTGAAAAAAAATCATGCAGCTCGGAACATGTGGGAGAAAGAATGGAGAACTGCTTCCCCCTTTGTTATTCCCAAATTGTTGCCCACATACTGAATTGATGTAAATACTCGGAACTGCTGGGATTTGTGCTCAGCGAAACTGAACTGGAACTGAGACAACTCAAGTCAAGGCTCAAAATCTTTCTATTCACTGTGCCAACTATCAGCCCTGCCCTGACTTTATATTAATAAATCACTAATAAGTTTTCATTTGTAACAGATGTGCTGCATTATCTTTTTAAGCCAAGTCAGTTATGTGGAGAATTTATTGCAAGACTGCCTGAGAAACAACTCTGATGAGAAAGCCAGAATGTCAGAGAGAAAGGAAGACTCACCTGCAGTAGGAGCGGAAGAGACAGCAGGGAGAGATGGTGAGATGAAGCCATCAGCAAAGGGCTGAGCTCCTGCTACGGAGTCTGGGGTCAGTGTTGGAACATGGGTAGGGGTTGCAGAAGGAACAGAACCTTGAGTTGAAGCAGGTACTGCAGCAGTAGGAGGAACAGGGACTGAAGTAGGATTAGGCGTGGTAGGTGGTGGAGGGGTACCAGCAGAGCCTTAGGGGAGGGTGTAAAAGAAGGATTAACACAAACGAGAACGTTAGCTGGGACGAGAAAGCCTGTTGAGCAGTTAGTTAAAGTTCCAATCACGCAAGAACCATGCTTATAACATTGCAACACAGGTCCTAGAAGAGAACACCCATCAGCTGGGAGAAAATTACAATATTCAGATACTATGAATTCATACCACCAACTCAGGCGCAATCTGACATACCATGGGAGACTCTGCTTCGAACTGGAAGCAGAGATTGATCACTAATATCACTTTGTTTACCACTTTTTGCTGATTCTTCAAATTTTTTTTGGTGCCTGATGCCCTTCTTCACTTCAAGAAACTCACTCTTAACTGCTGGGGCATCAAAGCAAAGCTCTAAACCCACCTTTCATGAGAACAGGGGATTGCTGGACAATTATCAGAAACATCTATCAGAATTCATCTACCCAGTATTCCTTTTTTTTTATTTTTTCATCCATTCCCAGGATGTGGACATCACTTTATTGACCATCAATAATTGCCCTTGAGAAGGTTGTGTTGAACTGCCATTTTGAATGCTAATAAGTGGATTGCTGGGTCTTTCCATAGCACATTAAGAGGCAACATATTGCTATGGGTCCGGAGTCACATACAAACTAGCATGGGTATGAGTAGCAGATTTCTTGCCTAAAAGGACATTTGTGAATGAGCTGGAAGTTTACAACAAACCAGCAGTTTTCAATGCTCACCATTACTGATACTAGATTTTAACCTACGAATTTGATTTTAAATTCCCCAGCTGCCATGGTGAGAGTTTAACTCATACCTCTAAATTATCAGTCCAGGTCTTAGGTTTACTAGTCTAGTTGAATAGCCACTATGCTATGTTACTCTTGTTCAAAGAAGACCGAGGCTGAAGGTCATACCTCTTCATGCTTGACAGCCATCAGCTATGACAGCATACAGCAGGGATCAAATCTGCACTTTTTCTGGACTGTGGCCAGAACGTTGGAGGTTACATCAGGAGCACAGTAGTGACAGGGAAGAGTTATTTATGTGCAACTAAAGCACCAGAATTCCATGAAATAAGAACAGGTTTTGATTTATTCAGCTGCTATAAAGTGGTTTATTTGGAAAAGGCAAATGCTTATATATCAGAAATCATTCCAAAGGTTCGTCCCCTCTCTAACTGACATATTTGTCAGCAGTCCAAGGGGATAAAAGTCTCTGGTGAGGCTGAATGGAGTTGTCGGATTCATAAGGTGAACGCAAGATTTTCTGCACTCCATCAGTCCGTGAACCCATGAGATGTGTAGGCATTTAAATTAAATTTAATTTAATCTCCTTTATGAAATATTTCAGACTGACAACCCTCACGTTCATCTAACATATAGCTACTGGCTGGCCCATGGTCATTTTCTGCATTTGACACCATGCACGATTTTGAAAGTGCAGTATATTGTAACTTGTGTCGGTTAGTACTGTGACACATTCAGTAAAATATATATTTAATTCACTCTATAATAATCGTCAGCATGCCTTGTGCTCTTGGGGCACAATCTCAGGTTAAGGGACCAATCACATAGGACAGACATGAGGAGAAATGATTTCACTCAAAGAAATCTGAATCTTTGGAATTCCCCAAAGGGTTGTAGATGTTCCATCATTAAATATATTTAAGGCTGGGATTGGCAGATTTTTAATCTCTTGGGGAATCAAGGGATATGGGGAGCTTGCAAGAAAGTGGAGTTGAAGCCCAAGATCAGTCGTGATCATACTGAATGAAGGAGTAGGCTCACTGATCCATATAGTCCACTCCTGCTCCTATTTCTTCTATTCTCTTATGTTCTTGTGACTGCACTGGTCATTTTTCCCTATATTCCTCTTCCTTAGAAATTTCTTCTTCAAATTTTTATTAGAAGGTCCTGAGAGGGTAAATTATTGATGATTGTTCCCAATGTTTGGTGAATTGGTAAAAGGAGCACAGAATGAAGATCAATCACTGACAGAATCATGATGACCTGAAGGGCCTCCTATCACACAGTAATTTTAATGATATTCTTTTCTCCTGAAATTAACCATTTGCGTGAAATGCTAGAAGGTTGCTGCCATTCTTAATATGTAAAGGCCGAAGATGAAAGTTAACTGTTTCCCTCAAATGTCCACACAGGAATGAAAGAAAGGATGCGAGGGAAATAGCCAAATGACGGGCAAGTGGCAACAGCCAAAGAGACTGGAGGGAAGAGGCACTGAAATGTGCATCCAAGTATTATTACTTGTCAACAACGTCACAGGAAACATTTCAGAATGACACCGCCTCATGGTTACATCACTATAGTGGCTTAAATAAATTTCACTTCAAATCTTAAGCTTTTAAGAAAAAATTAGTTAACACCAAGAGTTAGCATGCCAGATTTTCCATCAACAGACCTGGCAGCATCACATTGTTAGTTCTATTTCAGAACTGTCATTTACTCATTTGTAATAAAGGTTTCTTTTTACCTCACATATATTATTTTTCAACTATATTCGTATTGCGAGATGCCTGTGTCAGCACTAAACGTTACCAGGGCAGGGACAGCTCGGGGTTAGATACACAGTAAGGTTCCGTTTACACCATCTTAATAAACATTCCCAGGGCAGGTTTGGCATGGGTGAAATACAAAGTTCTCTCTACATTGTTCACCAATCTATTTGCAGTCCCAAACATGTATACCCATCCAAATGACATTTCCACACTCCACATATCAGCCATTTTGTGGCCAGAATGAGTAAAACTGTCAGCTTAGTGGTGGATTAGCAATAGTTCGATCCTCACTATAAACTGCATTGAGACAGGTAGCTGGGACTTCCTTCCCAGTAACAATCTGGGACTGAATTCAATCCCAACTCTTCAGGGTGCAAGGTCAATGTCTGAATTGCAGTAGTGAATTGCCATACAAACGCTCTGGAAGTACACAATGTTAGCAAATTTATTCTGAGGGTTCACAAAAGTGAAGGTGGGAATCTGGATAAGCTGCTGTCTGTTGGTGAGATCTGAGCGCTGCGTTAAGTCAAAGCCAAGTCTGGAGAGAACTTTAATGATGAGCACTGCAAGTGGGAAGCCCTTACCTGGATAGACACTGGGTGGAGAAGGAGTTGGTACAGCGATGGGAACCCCAACACTGCCACTGCCGCTGTTTTCCCTGCTACTACTACGGCTACTCGGATGGCTTCCCCCGCTGCTCCCACTGCTGCTGCAATACACAAATCACAGTAAATGTCAGCACTCACACATAGTTTGAGGGAGCATGCCATCATTGTTCCTGGTTCTCTCCTGAACTATCTGAAGTCAGTCTCCCTGAAACAAAGAAGAACTGACTGTGAAATGGGTATGGGACCTTAGACACTCCATCTCTTCACCCCACTCGACATAATCCAAATTAAAATCACAGAGAATTTTCGAAATCCAGCCTGCATCTCTTCACATTCCACACAGCTGCAGGTTAATACATCAAACAGGATATAATTATAATTTTTAAAAAAGTTTCCAGTTTGAACAGAATCTGGTGTTTTCCCTTCTACAAAACAATGATGACCACACTTTGAAAAGACTTCTAAAAAATTATATGTGTAGCACAGCAATGGGTGCAACTATTGCAATCAAACATTTGGTTTATTACATTTAAATTAAGCTCTGCAGAGTCAAATGTACGGATAGGACCCAGTGTTTTGTATACCTGTATGTCCTTGTTCTCTGATTTACAGAAGCTGTCCGCACTGGACTCTGCTGTTGTGAGGAGCTCATGTTGCGAGTTGGGCTTGGTACGTAGTCATTTGGGACGACTGGGGGGCGGACAGGTTCCAGTGTACGATAAGGAGAATGCCGACTACAGAGAGGGAAAGCAAATTAGTTCAAAACAATTTCTACCTGTCATGATGTTCACTGACACTCTTGTACTGTTTACGTCTGCACATCCTTCACGAAGTTCATTGACATACGTGTACTTTTATGCACACACTTCACAGACACACATATACTGTTGAAATATACACACATATACATATACACACACACACACAGAGGCTTGCACTGCTTATATACATACGTACCTTTCACACTTGCACTAATAACCTCAAAGAAATTACTTGCACTAACAACATCAAAGAAATGGGATCTCGGTCTAACATCTCATCTACAGAGCCCCCTCTATTAATGTCGTGCTTCTTCAGAACTGAGATGTTTGCTTAGACAGTGAACGCAAATATTGGAGTGAGACTTGAACCTACAATATGACTTGGGAGTAATACCAATTAGGCTGCTGTCGGGTGTCAATGCCAATACTTTTAAACCATGTTTGATGTTCAAAACATACATCAAATAGAAAGCAACAATGGCACATCCACCAATGTGTCTTATAGTTATATGGCTAAGTTTTGACATTGGATTAATACAATACCCGTCATTGGATGGTGTAGCAGAGCAACAAACGTCGATCGGTAGGGCAAGAAATCAACCTTTCATGTTACTCAGATATCAAATTCAGCTGCAATTCTATGCCAACTCTCCCATGGTTCAGGCCACTGACAGGCCACCTCGATTCAGACATGATTACTACCCATTTGGAAAAGCTATCAGTTGGATTGCTTGTACCACAATCAGGGAAGTGAGGCTGACTGTGCACATTAAAACACCTATGTACACAAGTAGCAAAGAGTTATCTAGAAAAGGGATTCAAAATGCTTGCAGACTGTCATTCTTTGCCCCAGCTTGCATTGTCCACTTACCCGAGAGTGCCCTTCCCTGACACTGGGGGACTGGGCGGTTTCTGCGTGGGTGGGGTGCTCCGTGGAAGCCCACCCATCTTCATATTCTGAGTGCTGACCTGAAAGGTGACAAGCAAGGTGGATGCATCAGCGGCTTGTTAATCACACTAACACCAAGAGGAGATTGACGCAGAAGTTTAATCAGAGTCAGAGCGAAGGAAAAAAAGTAAGAAAAGGAAACAGAGCGAGGCCATGCAAAGTGTTTGTCTCCAAGTTTCTAGGTGGCTAAATGGTCTATTATCTTATAGAACAGATACAGGGTTTGCAATTTAAAATAGCAGGAAAACCCTTGCTTAAAAGAAGATATTAAAAAAAATAGCAAATACACAACCAGTCACTCAGCAACATACAGAGAAAGAGTAGTTCATGTTTTGGGTGGGGGCCCATCATCATAACAGGGAACTGATTTCACCCGAAACACTAACCAATCTTCCTTGTCACGTGCTGTTTGACGTGCTCTGTCTTTCCTATATTTTCTGTTACGTTTCAGATCTACAGAATTTACCATGAAGGTTTCCCCGCACATAAATGATAAGGGTCATGAAAGCTAAAATCAAATCATAAACAAACAGCTAATCATAATAGAGAATGATGCAGTTTCATTCATGTTTCCTTGCAGAAGATAGGGTGGTAATGTGGAGACAACACAAACAGGTGAAACAGACAGACAGTGTACAGGAGATGGTGAGTGGACAGTAAACACGGTTGGTGGAGGGCAGACAGGAGGTACGAAACACAGAGAGAGGCCAGCAGAGATGGAACATAAAGGGAGTAGAGAGAGTGCAAAAGAGATGGCGTGTGGAGAGCACAACGGGGAGCCGGCACGGAGAGGGAATGGCAGACAGGGGAGACTGCACATGGAGGGCACACAGTGGAGATGGCATGAGGATAAGACGAAGATAACATGCAGAGGTGGATTGGCAATTGAAGAGCACATGGGGGAACGGCACATGGAAAGGGCACACAGGGAGACGGCGCACACAGGGTGCAGAGGAACACGGTACATGGAACAATATGAAGTTGTAATTCAAAAATGGCTGCAGCTCTCACTCTCAAGACTCATAATTTCTCTTCCACAATTATGATCCTGTGCAAGCAGTACACCAAAGTCCATCGGTTGCTGTCATAGGAATAATGGATAACTTTGGGTAATTAAAGTCCTTAACAGCCTTTGCAATCTGACCGAAGTTGAAAAGCAAAAAATTCAGTCAACCATGTACAGAGTTCGTTAGGAAATCCCAGACACCAAAAACTAAGATCAGGGAATTGTAAGCACTTGGGGGTAAGAGTCAGGGGTCCCCTGCCGGAGTACTATTGGAGGCTCTGTTATGCCAGCAGGTACAGTCATGGGTTCTCCTACTCCAGAAAGAACGCTGAGGGACATTCATAGCTTAGGGCCAGAATGCCCTCTACACCAGATGGGGTGGTCCCAGGTCTCCCTATACTAATACTTACGATGGGAAACTCTCCTTAATCAGAGAATACACCCAGGGACTCCGCTACACCCGGGAGTACACCCAGGGACTCCG